GAGTTTTCATCTTGGGGTGGGAATCCTGTATTTATTTACAAAATGGGGGTGCTGCTGGGGGGTCCCCCCTCCTCGCCGGTCGCTCACACGTTGTCTCCCCCCCTCCTCTGCTTTTCCAGACGTTTCCTCTACCTCTTCTGTATTTCGGGAACCAGATCACAGGACTTTTCAGCACAAAGAAACTGAAGTAGGGATGGATTTTCTTTAGGGGGGGTGGGCTGTATAAGGGGGTTTTTGGTGGAGTGGGTGAGGCAGGGAGCTGCTTCTGGGCTCTGAGGGGACTCAAGCTGGAGCTTTGGAGCTTCTCAGGGCGATGCAATGCCCTCCTGTGCCCACGCTGAAATTTTGGCAGCGGGGGGAGGGCCCTTTTTTCACCCCCCCCCCACCTTTCCTCTTGCAGCCTGCCCATGTTCACCGTCCTCAGGAGGTTTTCCATCCTCTTCACCATGTTTGCCGAAGGATTCTTACTCAAGTGAGTCTCCCTGGCCCCGGGGCTGGAGTTAATGGGAGTCTGGAGGTGTTGGGATGAGGTGTGGAAGGCAGATCCCTGCGGTCAGAGGAAGTGGCTCCGAGCTGGGTTTGGGAGCCAGGGTGGGCGGAGGAAGCAGAGAGGAGAGGAGAGCAGCAGGGTGTGACTTGCCCTGATCCTGTTTCCTCGATCTGCCTGGAGGGAGCTGGGCAAGATGAGGAGCTGGGTGTGCTGTGCAGTGCAGCTCTGGGATCCCAGAGGGGCTGAAAGGGACCTCTGGAGATCATCTCACCCAACCCCCTGCTCCAGCAGCTCACCCACAGCAGGGTGCCCAGGATGGTGCCCAGGGGGGTTTGGGATCTCTCCAGAGCAGGAGACTCCACAGCCTCTCTGGGCAGCTGCTCCAGGCTCGGCCACCCTCACCCCAAAGAAGTTTCTCCTCCTGCTCAGGTGGCACCTCCTGGGTTCCAGTTGGTGCCTGTTGCCCCTTGTCCTGTCCCTGGGCACCACTGACCAGAGTCTGGCCCCAGCCTCTTGCCCCCCGGGGGCCCTTTAGCTCTTGCTCAGCACTGCTCAGATCCCCTCTGAGGCTTCTCTTCTGCAGCTCAGCAGCCCCAGGGCTCTCAGCCTGGCCTGGCACAGAGATGCTCCAGCCCCTCAGCATCTCCACAGCCTCTGCTGGACTCTCTCCAGTAGCTCCCGGTCTCTCCTGAGCTGGGGAGCCCAGAACTGGACCCAGTACTGCAGAGGTGGCCTCACTGGGGCAGAAGAGAGGGGGAGGAGAACCTCCCTTGACCTTCTGCCCACACTCTTCCTCACACACCCTAGGAGACAACTTGCCCTTGTTGAACTTTGTGAGGTTCCTCTGTGCTCAAGTGAAGGTTGTTGTTTCCATCCAGCCCTGCTAATGTCTCTCTTCTGTCTGGTCACCTGCAGAGACTTCAGAACTTCTCATGCCCCTGTGCCAACAGCCCCTTCCTCAGGGCTAAGCTGGTCCCCATGGGGTGCTGAGCATCCCATGCCCCCCTGAACCCTTCTCTGCAGCAGGCAGAGTGGTAGCACCCCATAAACTTGCACCTCATCAATGCTCTGTTGGCTTTGTTTTAAACTCTGTCTAAAAACATCTTGTTTTTACTCCCTCCTTTGGACGTGTTGGTTTTCTTGGGGTCCTCTTCCCCCACCTCTGCACGTGCTGGGAGAAGAAGCTTTTCCAAAGCCCTCGTGGTACCTCAGGATGTAGCTGATGGTGTCCTCCTGCCTCTCTTCTCAGGAAGAAGTTCTCCTGGAGCATTCAGATGACAGTATTTGCCATGATCCTCGGCGCCTTCGTAGCTGCGAGGTGAGCTCTGGGGTTGCTGTCCCCTCTCCCACATCTGAAGGGTCCCAAAAAACCTAAGAGGACTCCACTACCACCCTCTGTCCCAAGTAAATGCTGCCTTTTGTTTTGTTTTGTTTTTTTTTTCACCCTCAGACATCCTCTCCAGCAGGAGAGGACATTTTTACCCACCCAAGTCCCAGCCCCTCCTCCCCTGATTAAATTTTTCTGCCAGCTTGCTGCCTAAACAAGGTGGAAGGAATCTCCCAAGTGTTCCACTGGGCTTCAAACCTGAACTGATGTTTTTTTTTCCCCCTTTCCCAGTGCTGACTTGGCGTTTGACCTGGAAGGATATATTTTTATCCTCATTAATGATGCCTTAACAGCTGCAAATGGTGCCTACGTGAAACAGAAGCTGGATTCAAAGGTAGGTTGACCTTTGGCTTCATCTCTTGGTCTGGCAGCACCTCTCAGCTGGGAGGGCGAAGGTCTCCTGCCTGGGAGGTTTGACAGTCCTGCTGGGCTGCTCTTGAGGCCACTTGTGGCCAGTTGGTGCTGGCCAGAGCTGTGCCCCTCTGCTGGGTGTGGTCACAGCCCCTTGTGACAGCAAAGAAACGGCCTCGGGGCCTGGTGGCCACAAAGTCTGTTGCAAGATGGTTGCTGGTGTCTTGTTTATAGATCTAGATACACACATGTTGATATATATTGAAATATACAGTCACAATTTCATATATATAATTATTTAGCATATAGATATATATAAAATCTGCTGGAAGGCAGCTCCACAGAGAAGGATCTGGTGGACAACAAGTTCACCATGAGCCAACAGTGTGCCCTTGGGGCCAAGGAGGCCAATGGTCTCCTGGGGTGTATGAGGAAGAGTGTGGGCAGAAGGTCAAGGGAGGTTCTCCTCCCCCTCTCTTCTGCCCCAGTGAGGCCACCTCTGGGTCCAGTGCTGGGCTCCCCAGCTCAGGAGAGACAAGGAGCTACTGGAGAGAGTCCAGCAGAGGCTGTGGAGATGCTGAGGGGCTGGAGCATCTCTGTGCCAGGCCAGGCTGAGAGCCCTGGGGCTGCTGAGCTGGAGAAGAGAAGCCTCAGAGGGGATCTGATCAGGGCTGAGCAAGAGCTAAAGGGCCCCCGGGGGGCAAGAGGCTGGGGCCAGACTCTGGTCAGTGGTGCCCAGGGACAGGACAAGGGGCAACGGGCACCAACTGGAACCCAGGAGGTGCCACCTGAGCAGGAGGAGAAACTTCTTTGGGGTGAGGGTGGCCGAGCCTGGAGCAGTTGCCCAGAGAGGCTGTGGAGTCTCCTGCTCTGGAGAGATCCCAAACCCCCCTGGGCACCATCCTGGGCACCCTGCTGTGGGTGAGCTGCTGGAGCAGGGGGTGGGAGGAGATGATCTCCAGAGGTCCCTTCCAACCCCAGCCTCCAGCTCCTCATTTTGAGAACCCCACAAGGACTTCACTCACTAGACCCACTCCTCAGTAGCAATACCAATAAGATTTTGTGTTCCTGGCTGGAACCAAGTCACCCCCATGTTCCTGTTTCTCCAGGAGCTGGGGAAGTATGGGCTGCTCTACTACAACGCACTGTTCATGATCCTCCCCACCCTGACCATCGCCTACTTCACTGGAGATGCACAAAAGGTAAGATCCTGGCCCCAAAAGTAGAATCCTTATTGGCAAGATGCCTCCTGGGCAAAAAAAAAAAGGGCTTCTTGGAACATTTGCCTGTTGATTGTTCTTTCTGTGCCTTGGGTTTCGGAAGTAAAATGGGAAATAGATCAAAATGAGGAAGTATAAATGAATTCTCCCTGGTTTGCAGGTGGGATCTACGCAGGGTTTGGGGGGGAGGGTGAGGGCCAAGGTGGTGGAGAACTGCCCCCAACCCATCCCAGCAGAAACGAGCTCTAGGTCTTGCCGTTGGCTGTTGAACCCACAGAGTTGCTCCATGGGAGCATTTTCATAACTCTGGAGGAAGGGGGAAGTGCAAGAAGTGAACCCCAATATTATTTCCTGTGAAGAAGTCAAGTGGTTTTTACAATAAATGAGTTTCTTCAAACTTTTTTCCCTTCTCCTTCCCTCTTCCTGGGGTGGTTTTTGTGTCCAAGTGGTCTGTTGGCTTCTTCTGCCCCATCAGGGTGTGATCTGGTTGACCTGGGTTCTGTATACATTAAATTTATATAGCATTATTATAATAATTAGTATTATCATTATTATTACTCTCACTTTTCATGCCTGCACCAGCAGACACCTCTCCCCACGGGCAAGGAAAGCTGATGCTGGAGGTGTTGCCACCATGGGTGACAGCAATGACCCTGCAGACACCCCTGTCCTGTGTCACCCAAGAGCCTGGTGGCTTTTTTATCTCCTTGAGGAGCTTACTGCCCTAATTAAGATAACGAGCTGTGATTAAGGAGGAGAAGTGGCTGCATGGGTGAAGGTAGCTCAGCCCCTGCCCTTCCTGAAGGGTGTCTCCCTGGCCTAGATTTGGGGATAAAGTGTTCATTGATGAGCAGGAGCTGGAACTGGGAGCAAAACGTTGTTCTGTGCAGCTTGGGGAGAAACTGCCTCTTTTTTTTTCCACTTTTTTCTGTTTTTTTTTCCCTGAATAAACTTCTTTCTCCCTGGCTGAGCTGCTGGCAGCCAGCAGCAGACAAAGATGAGCTCTGTCAGGGCTGCTGCCAGGAAACTCCACGTGTGCAGCCTGGATGAAGAACCTTCTTGTGAAGGACGTGCTGCCCCAGGCGTCGGCGTGGGGATGGCTCTGGGGCTGGGGGGGCCGTGCTGGGG